AGTGTTAAGTTTTATTAACACTGTACAGCATTAAGTTTTAATAACACTGCACAGTGTTAAGTTTTATTAACACTGCACAGTGTTAAGTTTTATTAACACTGTACAGTGTTAAGTTTTATTAACACTGTACCGTGTTAGTCAGTGTTAAGTTTTATTAACATGTTACAGTGTTAGTCAGTGTTAAGTTTTATTAACACTGTACAGTATTAAGTTTTATTAACACTGTACAGTGTTAAGTTTTATTAACACTGCACAGTGTTAAGTTTTATTAACACTGTACAGTGTTAAGTTTTATTAACACTGCACAGTGTTAGTCAGTGTTAAGTTTTATTAACACTGTACCGTGTTAGTCACTGTTAATTTTTAACAGTTTAGAGTTAAATTGTACTCTGAAAATTTAACATTATGAAAAAAGGTTAAATTGACACCAGTTCAGACAAGGACCAAATGGACTCAGTGTTAAATTAAACTCTTTTAAGTGTTGATTTAACACTGCAGAATTTACTGAGAGGATTAGACAGAAAACTGAACATTTGATCTCAGGTATATTTGAATTTTCCTGACTGTTTCCAGGTCTCATCGTTGGATCTTTGATGGTCTGCTGGCTCCCCAACCAGATCATTCGTTTCATGATGGCCACCGTGTCCAAGTCCGACTGGACCCCGTCCTACCTGCGGAGAATCGCCACGCTCCACCTGGTGGCCGACGTCTTCTTCTACCTGAGCTCCGTTCTCAACCCCTTCCTCTACAACCTGTCCTCGCGGCAGTTCCGGCAGGTGTTCGTCCAGGTGCTGCGGTGCCGCCTGACCATCCAGCACGTCAACAAACGCGCCCTGCAGCAGCAGCCCCGCCCCTCGTCCGCTCACTCCCTGCAGCCGCTGCTGCTCCGGTCGCTGCGCCGCAACAAGACGGCTCCGCCCACTTTCACGGCGAGTCAGAGCGACTCGGGCGTGTTTTCAAACATCAGTCAAAGCGAAGAGGCAGACGGGACTCTTAAAGCCATCCTAGATGTTCCWTCAGAGACAGAAATATAACAAAATGCACCGAACATTGACTCAAACAGCTTTATTCATGTCGGTCTGTCGGCACAAAACATCTAATCACAGTCACTCAGAAGTTTGTCCTTATTTCATAATGAACTTTAATAATAAATAAATGCAACTTCAGCAGTTTGTTGAATTTATTTGTGCTTTTGGACAACGGAATATTTGGTAAAACTCCTGGTTTCTCTTTATTTTCTTATTTTTTAATTTAAATTTTGACTTTTACTGTTTTATTTACTTCTACTTTAAGTCAAAGGTCTACTTATCTGAAAATATACAAGAGCTATGATGGAAAAAGAAGAAACAAAAGCCTGCTTCATGTAGGATCTAATGACCCAGAAACTGCTGAGTCAGYGGTTGTCATGGCGATTCCCCCCTTTTTAGGGCAGCGGAGCGGGTGACGCAGAAATGTACAGAAAAATCAAGCCTCAAACAGTCACTTTATGTTGTATCAATATTTCTGAAGGCTCTGATGCTCATTCTTGCCAGTGTTTGTGTTTTATTGTTTTATGACGAGCTAAAAAGACGCTTCACTTCCTGTTTTGCGGATCGTTAGAAAGCCCGGATTGCCCAGGGCAAATTTATTTAAACATATTAGAAGTTACAACTTGTTTTATTGTTAACTGAGTTGAGTAAATCTGCCTTTTTTTTCTCTGTGATTATTAGAAAATGTAATGTTTGTATCATGTCATTTTTAAACACGAAAATTAAACATGAAAATTAATATTTATCTGTTAGAAGATGGTAAGAGTTTTTTTAACAGTAATAGTTGATGTAAGTATAAAAAACTTCATTTTAATGATCTGTAACTGAGATATGAAAAATTAGCCATGGTAGCATTAGCACTAGTAGCATTAGCACTAGTAGCATTAGCACTGGTAGCATTAGCACCCTATAATGTTTTTTCAGGCAGTTTCTATTAATTTCATTTATAACCAAGCTTTGATGACATTACTATTTTAACACTAAAATCTAAAGTACAARTAGTGAATATGATTAAGTTTTCATAAGATCTTAGTTTTATGATGTGCATTAATAAAACTGATGAGTTTGTTTTTGAATATGCTCACTGTCAGTGGTGGGGGCATGGTTCCACTAATCAGCTAGCAGCTAATAGCATAACGAATTTATTGTTTCTTCACTAACTTTGAAAACTGTTAGTAAATCCATTCGCTTCTCCTAAATAAACTGCATTATCACAACTTTAAATCTGCTAATCAGCTTATAGTGGTAGCAGGTTAGCTTCGTTACAATCTTTGTAAACCATTAACAAACCAATTAGCTTCTGCTAAATGTGTTTTGCCAACTTTAAGGTAAAAGTGGAACAATTTTTTTTAGCGGATTAGCTTTTTCACTAACTTTGTTAGTTGTTAAGGAATCAACTAGTGTTTTTTCCCGCTAATTTTTACTTGTGTAGCTGTTTAACTTTTTCGCTAACTTTGAAAACTGTTAGGGAATCAATTGATTTTCGCTAAATTGTTTTTTGTTGCTAATTTTTACTTGTGTGGCTGTTTAGTTTTTCCASTAAAAATGTTTAGCAGTTAACAATAGCAAAGCTATTTTGTCGTTTGCGGCTAATAAGTTAGCAGAGCTAGCAATTTGGTTAGCTGTGCCCACCACAGTAAATACTGTTTTCTGTTCACCTCGCCCAGAAACTCCAGCGACAAATCTGGGATCAGGGTCTGGGGTCAGATGGGATCAGATGGGATCAGGGTCTGGGATCAGATGGGATCAGGGTCTGGGATCAGATGGGATCAGGGTCTGGGGTCAGATGAGATCAGGGTCTGGGATTAGGGTCTAGATGAGATAAATGTTGGTTCCCACTGTTTCTTTTGTAACTCTGGAGGAACAAAAAGCAAAGAGCTGCTCATGTCTCAGCTCACACAGTTCCAGATGAGGACATGTCCTCGGTCTCTGAGGTTCTGAGACAGGACATGTCCTCTCTCAGTCCCAGGTTCTGTCAGCAGAAGACGGAGTCCAGCAGCAGCAGGAAGAGAGGAACAACAGGAAGCCGCGGCGTGTCCGGGCTGACGGCGGAGGACAGCGGCGGTCGTCTCTTCTGCCGGGGCCCGTTACAGAGCGGCGTGTTGCAGCAGGTGATGCAGACCGAGTTCAGCTTCCCGGTGCAGAACTGCTGGTAGCCCGAGGAGGCGATGAGGCAGGCTCCYGAGGAGGCGCAGGACTTCCTGTAGTGGATCCCTGCAACACAAACAGAAGCTTCAGGGCTGTAAAGGACCTGGTTATGGGCTGAGGCGTGTTTTTGTGGGAGCRGGAACAGATGGTCGCCTGTAATTAGGGATTTGTTTTTTTCATGCTCAGGATCTGAACTTGACTATAAACATGATTTTAACATCTTACATTTGGTTTTAACGCTCCGACAAGTCTTTACAGTTTGATTAGTTCAGAAACACAATCTGTTCACGAATCAACAACAAAACTGCTTCAGCTGCTCTCTGTGAGCTGCGCTTTTATTTTGAATTAAGTTCACTTTTCCCACAAAGCAGAAAAATTCCATTAAAAGTCAGAAAATCAAAGAAATTTTATTTACTGTGAAATTGTGAAGAGCTGAACGACTGCCTAAAATTTATAAAGAAGTTAAGACTGAATTGTGAAAAGCAAATCAGCAGCTAAAATCAGCAAAACATTAAATAAAATGCCAAAAGAAGAAGCTATAATTGGCATGAATTAAAATCAGCAGAACAGTAGCTAAAGCTACAATGAGACAAACTGCAGCTAGTTACTACTAAAACTGTCAAAACTAAATATTTAAACCATGCTAAAGCTAAAATCAGCAAAACAGCAGCTAAAATCAGAAAAAAGTGACTAAAATGCCAAAAGAAGTAGCTATAATTGGCATAAACTAACCAACAAAACAAATACTAAAAGCACAAAAACAATAGCTAAAATTGCCAAAACTAAATATACAATGCATACGCTAAAACAAAAATCAGCAAGACAGTAGCTAAAATCAACATAACGGTAAGTAAAATTTAAACAGATATTAAAATAACTAAAACTGCATCTCAAAAAAGATGGAAGCAAAAAATGACAAAAACTAAGTTTAGCAAAACATAAACAAAAATCATCAAAACAGGTGCCAACAAACTGCATCTAAAAGTAAAATAGTAGCTAAAACTGTCAAAAACTCAACTTAGCAAAACATAAATGTGAAACAAAAATCATTAAAACAATAGTTAAAAATAAAAAGTAACGAGCTGACTGTGGCGGCCATCTTGAATCTGAATAACCCAGTCTGAAAAGAACTCCTCGGTTCTGATCCAGACCTTAAAGAACTTCAGCTGTTTTACGCTGAAGCTAATGTTCAGTTAGCACAAGGAAACTTTAACATTTGGCTGATATTCTGTTCCGTCCCTCTAACTACAATAATTATAATTTATGTTAATAAAGCACAGRAAGTCCAGGTTTCAGGTTTGAAACTTTGATTATGTTCTGAAGTCCATTAGAACCTGTTTCAGAACCAAACACTTTCCCTTCTGTTTAACCTAATTTATGGAAATGACTGATTTCCTTCGTACTGATAGAGTAAATGAACTTCTGTCAAACTGCAGGAGCTCGTTAAGATAAGACGTCCAATCAGGAGCCGGGAGCCGACAAGTCCCGGTCCATTACCTGAGAACCTGGACCTGACCTCCTCAGGTTCTGTAGAACAGGTGAGTTTTCTTACAGCCTCCATGTGGTGATGTCATCTTTAATCTTTGATGATTTAACTGTTTTTATTCATCGCCTGACAAAACGACTTCAAAGAGTTAAAGAGCGAGTCGATCTGCTTCAGGTGTTTTAAATAAATCTGGATCAATAATCTGAATTTCTTCTGCTGTTTGTCTTTTTTAAAACAAATCTTACAAACAGGAAACACTTCGTCTGCGTCTGTCCCGTCTTCACGGAGCTGGAGGCGACATTAGAGGAGCCTCAGAGGGAATCATCGAGCCTGACTGATTTTATTTCATGTCTGAAGCACCGAGGTGTCATGGCTGCATTTTAAACAGGTGTGCTGGGCTCAGTCCACTTCCTG